CTTCCTTCCTTCCTTCCTTCCTTCCTTCCTTCCTTCCTTCCTTCCTTCCTTCCTTCCTTCTTTGAGCTGGAGATGCTAAAGCAAAGGGGCAGAGCAGGGAGAGAAAGGGACCCGCGGCTTTCTTCCGGCTGCTTGATCCAACGACTTGACCCCCCCCCCCCCGCCCCGCCACGGCTCCCAGCCCAGCAGCCCCTTGGGACTGGCTTGGTGTGCGGAGCAGAGAGACACTTCGGGATCGCGCCCATCCTCGTGGGGTTTTATTATTGTTATTACGGGTCAGGCTGTGCCCAGCCACTGAAACTTGGGAAAGGAGCCAGTGTGGCGTTGGGCGAAGGTATTTTTTCTTCAGGAGCGCTGGGGGGTGGTGGTGGGGGGGGGGATAAAATCACTCGCACACCATGAACGGTGGTGCCGGTTCTCTGCGCGGTTCTGTTGGCAGTCATGCTTGGAAGCCAAGTCCCACGCCCTGCAGTGATGGTTGGAGCCCTCACGCTGTTCCACCCATCATGCTGGGGGGGGGGGGCTTGTGGGGCAAGATGCTCCTGCCAAGGGGGGTCTTTCTCCAGAGCATCCGCTTCAGCCGAGCAGGAATGCTCCCTTTGCTTCCTTGCCAGGGTCCGCACCTCCTCAGTCTCCCTCGTTCTGCAAATGTGGAGACCTCAGTCTCCAGAGAGAGGCCTGCCTCCGTGGGCTTGGAAGAAGGGTGATGTCATTCGGTGGCAGTGAGATCAGGTTGTTTATCTCCGCCGGGGCAGGTTGTGTTGTCCTTCGAGTATCCGTTGGAGAGAAAATGGGAACCTTTTAGCTGTCTGTGTGTCCTGCGTTTTTCATGGGATGTATAAGGTGTTTGTGTATGACATGCCTGTCTGTGTAGAGAGAAAGCATGTGTGTGAGTGACGCAGAGAGAGAGAGTTGTTTAAAATACAGGTTTGTCATTTAGGAGTTTTAGGATGGACTGGAGTTTTAATGAGAAGGATGTTTCTCTTGCGATAACCATCAGCACTAATCTAGGGAGTGGACCGAGCTGTTCTTGGCCTCTCAGCCTCATGAATCATTCCTGCTTGGAGATACAGGAATCAGATTCCTTAGCACCGCTTAGACTTTGTACAAGTGTCCAGCGGAGGGAGAATAGCATAGCGGAAAGGACTTGAAATAAATAAAAAGGGTTTCATTAGTCAGTCTTAAAAGACTGACTAATCCAGGCCTTGCCTTGGCCTGCTTGGATTGTAATTTCCCTATTCCCTAGCCAAGATGGGAACTGTAGTCCAACCTCTCAGGTGATCATAGTAGTAAGGAATGCTGGACTAAAAAGAGACAAAGGATGAATAAATGTTGGAGGATTCCCCCCCCCCTTGCAATAAGTGCTTGCATCAGTCTAGCTAGGGAGCAAAGTTTTGGATCGCTGGGTTTTGAATAGTTCCTGATGTGAGATAAGGGCAGAGCTAAAATGCTGGGGTTGCCTGCAGCAACAATTATATTTCCTTCTCAAATGCTTTCTGCCCCATCTGTTCGGTTGTCTAGCCCCCCCCCACCTCCTTACAGCAGCACAGGTGGGGAATGGGTGGCCCGCCGCATGATGAGGGACTACAACTTCCATCAGCACAGGTGGGGTACTCAGTGGGAAGCATTGCAGTCCACCTGGAGGGACTTCTCCAGACAGGCTCTGTGGGCTTGTATCTCACTCCCTTTCATTCATGTGCTGAGAGATTTCTACCTGTTGAGAAAAATAACCATACCCATCATCCAGCAATACTAGAGTTTATGGCATGCTTGATTGGTGTGGCCAATAGCGAGGAGCAATGGTGTTGTCGACCAAACGTTGTCCGTCCCTGGTGGTGCTAATTCGGAATGTATCCCGAATTGGGATAAGGCAGTTTTGCCAGTTCTTATTCAAAGTCGGGCATCTCAAGGTGAAGATGGTGGGAAAGGATCAGGGGTCAGGTGAGTGTAAAGCAGTACAGTGCCTGTTTTGCAGGCAGAAGGTCACTGCAGGTAGGTTGAAATTTTCTATTTAAATAAAAACGTACTACAAACTGCAGGTAGGGCTGACAAAATGAGCCCCTGCCTGAAACCCTGATGAGCTGCTGCCAGCCGGTGCCTGGCAGTGCCTCAGACCTTGCACAGCTGCTGCCTGCCCAAGTGGATAATTTTGGGCGGCATGGATAGTCTCACCTGGGATCAGACTGCTTTGTAGCTTCATAAGGACCTCTTGGTTTATTATTTATTTATTTATTTATTTATTAAAACATTTCTATGCTGCCCCTTGCTGAAGCCTCGGGGCGGCTCACAGCATAAAATACAATAAAATGCAAAAATAACAATATAAAATTAACAATATAAAATAACTAACAATATAAAAGAAGTCACCCTGGCCAGATAAATCTGGTTGGAGGATGTATACTCTGGACAGGTGGAGCCCCGAAGCTAATCTAGTCAAAAAGGATCAGAATGTGTAGGATATGGAAAGCTTTTCTCTATTTGGAGAGCTGCTGCCAGTCAGTGCAGGTAATGCTGAACTAAATCAGAAAAAAACAAGAGACAACCTTGCCTAAAACTGTAGAGACCTGTTGCCAGTCAGGGCAGGCCGGGAGTATTGAGCCTCAGCCCATGGGCCAAATTTGACCTTCCAGGAGCTACCCAAAGGGCATGCCCCTTTCTCCTGACCACCGCTGGTTGTTTGGTGGATTTCTGGCTTTCACACATGCCCCACTTACAGCCAAGTTACCAAAGAGCTAAAAACAACCACCCCCTTGTATTTTGGGGGCTTGCCCCTGTTGTCTTTGGTCTGCTCCTTTTGCTTCCACATCAGATGCGTCTTGACCACTGCCACGAAGCGTGGTCCTCCACCCTGAATCAGAGCTGTGTGGACAGTAATGAGCCTGATAGGACAGTGTGGGAATCGGGATGCCAGCTCTGCTGGACCTCTTGGTCTCTTCCAGTCGGATGCTCTCAGAACAGTCATTCTCAAATGGCGTTGCAGGAGAAGTAAACCAGAGGTTACTGGGCCCCAGCAGATGCTTGATGTTCCGATGGTGTCCGACGAATGGTCGAGCTAATCCAGTGCTTCCTGCAGTAGCCAGCCAGACCCCTATGGCAGCAATAATTCTCTCCCGCTGTTGTTTCCCAGCAATGGGATACATTTATCTGGATATTTTTGAAGCACTGGGATGCGGAAAGCCTTTGGGGATGGGAAAAATTTGGAGCAGGGGAAAGTTCATTGCTGCCTTGCCCAGCTTCTTCTCTGCTCCGAATTTCCCCCTCTCCTATGTTTGTGTGTCTGAATATGCTTTAAATAGAGCTCTTTTATCTTGGTATTGGCAAGTAACGTCTCTTTGGTCCCTGCCCTCCAAGATCTGTGTCTCACTGTACGGAGACTCTTGCAGCATCAAATCAGGGGTTGGTTCTGTTTATGCAGTTGCTGACCAGCAGCCTGTGGAAAGCCCCAGGTAGGTCCTGACAGTAAAAGTACGCTCTTGCCCATGTTCCCCAGCAACTGATGTACATTGGCATGCAGTTTCTGATACTGGAGGTAGCATTTTGCCATCGGGACTGGTCGCCATGGATAGCCTCCTTGATAAAGCATGTAGTCCCATCTCTGGTGACCATTGCTACATCTTCCAATAGAAAATTCTATGATTTAACTATGTACAGTGCCTTTTCCTCGGAATTTATACTCAATCTCTGTAAGTCATGGGAGGAGACTAATGTTATGGAACAGGGACCAAAATGTTTCCCTTCCCACTTTCTCCACGTCATACACCATCTTGTATATCTCTACCATGTTTCCCTGTACTCAGTTTTTTCTAAACCGTATGTACCCACCCGGCTCCTAAGTACTACAGTCATCTAATAACATTTTGAATGCAGAGAATTCTCGGTGAAGGTGCCACCATTTGAAACATCTCCTCATCCAGTTTAGGAGGCAGAAAATGTGTGTTTGTGAATTGGGATAGGCTGAGCGTCTGTGGGTGGTCCAAAGTCATCCAGTGAGGAGACTAGAATCCGGGTCTTCTGAGTCCAAGTCTGACACTCAAGCCACTGTTTTTTCAATCAGACTCAAATTATCATCAATTATAGCTGTAAAAGAACTCCTGAGGCTGCTTTCATTATCTTCCAAAAGATATCCTTTTGTCTCCAGTAGTGACCACTTTTAGCCCAACGGTGTAAAGATTCCTTTCTTTGTGTCTGTAATTTGGCCCTCCCGTTTGTTTTTGGTAATTCAAGATCTTATGCATTCATGCTCTAATATTATTTTCCCATCATGAAGCCGATTGATGTTGCTGATGTTAAGTTGCACCTTTAAAAAAAGTTTATAGAGGCTGGTGCATGGAAGGGCTGTATTGCCCATAGAATACTGAACTGGAGGAAACTACAGTTAGGAGTTCAGCTTGGTGATTTTTATGTTTAATCGATGTTAGGTGAATAGGCTCTGTTGTCTCGCGTGCCTCCAGGGAAGGGAAAATAAGAAGCGCATTGCGAAGTTCTGCTTACATGTGTGTAACAGGAGAACCGGGCCCTTCTTAAGCCGGGTGCACACAATGGCGCCGTGCTAGCATTTTGCCAAGAAACACAACGCCTTTGCACCGAGCACTGCTTCAGCAGCCACACTGGAGATGGAAGGAGCCTCTGCATCTGCATCCAGGCATCTGTTGCTAGGCAACGCCGGGCATCTGCACTCTTTCCACAGCACTCTTCGAGGGAGTGACGCTAGCTGTGCACAATAGCAATAAATGTGCGGCTGTCTATGTAGGCGCTCATTTTGCTGTCCTCCAGAGGTGCCTGCCTGCAGCTCCCATCAGCGCCAACCAGC